TCTCTCTCTCTCTCTCTCTCTCTCTCTCTCTCTCTCTCTCTCTCTCTCTCTCTCTCTCTTTAAAAAAAAAGAGTTAATTATATAAATAAAAGCACTGATTTTTTTCCCTCAAAAAATTTGGGGGTGGGAACATATGAGAACAACTACTATCTTATATTTGCTTTTGATATACCAGGTGCTTTCCAGATTTGTTTCATTGAATCCTGGAAACTATCTTTGGGAGATTAACATAATGAGACCTGCTTTTAGGTGATATAACTGAGCCCCAAAGTGGTACATTTTTTTTGTAAAAAAGTTTTTCTTGAAATTTGCACAATTATGAAGAGCAGAGGCCAATCTGAATCCAGATCTTGCTAAAAGGAAGGGAGAAATTCTTTACTTGGCACCCCAGAGTGCTCCTCTCTGGGGAGCCCTGACCACTGCTGCAAGGTCTGAAGACTCCATGGTGTGGTGAATGGAGCTCAGAGAATTTGATTTGGAAGGCCTAACAATGCCACTTAGCAAGGATGTCTAAGAACATGTGAATGGGTAACCCTTTATGGTATTAGATGTTGAATTTTGTCCTCCCAATAGATTTCTTGATGTTCTAATTCCAGGTGTCGCAGAATGTGACCTTTTTTGGGAATGAGCTTGTTGCAGATATAGCTAAATTTGGATCAGTTCATTCTGGAATATGGTGCACCCTTAACCCAATATAATTGGTATTTTTATAAGAAGAAGGAAATTTAGGCACAGGGACTTAGAGAAAGGAGATTACTAGCTGGAAATGTAGCTCAGGTTTACAGTGCTTGCTTGACATACACAAGGTCCTGAGTTTTATCCCCAGTACTGGAAAAAAAAAAGAGATTGCGATGAGATGATAGAGGAAGAGATGGAAGTGTTGTAGCACAGAGGAACAGCTGTGACTATCAGAAGCTGGAAGAATCAAAGAAGGGTTATTCCTAGAGCATTTGGAGGGGGTACAACTTTACTGACACCTTGGTTTTGTACTTCCAGCCTATAGAACCACAAGAGAATATTTTTTGTTGTTTTTAACCACCCATTTACTGACACTTATGATAGCCTCAAGAAACTAATATATATGGCAAAAAAAGACTTAGCTGAAGTGAGAAGGGGTACAAACCCTGGAATAGGGTTATCATGGTTTATTAGGGTTGCCTCATTATAACCATAAAGTGTCTTTATAAGAAGGAAGAAATGGGGTCAGAGACAGATTTGAAGATACTATGATGCTGGTTTGAAGATGGAGGGAGGGGCTATGAGTCAAGGAATATGGATGGCTTTCTAGAAAGGGAAAAATACAAGGAAATTGATTCTCCTCTATAGCCTCTAGAAGGAAAACAGCTTTTCCCACACCTTGATTGTAGCCCATTGATATCAGTTTTGAACTTCTGATCTCCAGAACTATAAAACAACACAGGGATCCCATCTCATGGACAATAAAACTGAGTTTTGGAGAGGTTAAATTATTTGCTAGGGGTCACAAAACTAGTAAATTGCAGATCTTGGAGTTGAAGACAAAAATCTGATGTGAAGCAAAACCCTTTCCTACTGAATTAGTTTTTCTGGCAATGTAGTAATGTTTGTTTAAAAAATAATTATATGGATTAGCATCTACGTATCAGAGAATACATTTGGCCTTTGTTGTTTTGGGATTGGTTTATTTCACTTAGCATGATATTCTCCAGCTCCATTCATTTACTAGCAAATCCCATAATTTCATTTCGCTTTTTTTGGCTGGGGCACCAGGGCTCGAACTCAGGGGAACTTGACCACTGAGCCAGATCCCCATCCCTATTTTATTTAGAGACAGGGTCTCACTGAGTTGCTTAGCACTTTGCTTTGGCTGAGGCTGGCTTTGAACTTGCAATTTTCCTGCCTCAGCCTCCCGAGCCGCTGGGATTACAGGCATGTACCACTGTTCCCGGCTTTCATTCTGCTTTAAGGCTAATCCACAGTAAAAGGGGTGACTAGGAAAGAATAGAGGCACTTTGGACTAAGCTGAGGGGAGTGAAGGGAAGGGAGGGGGTATGGGGGTAGAAGGACAGTAGAATGAATAGGACATTATTACCCTATGTACATATATGACTATACAACTGGATTGATTCTATGTCATGTACAACCAGAGAAATGAAAAGTTGTGCTCCATTTGTGTTCAATGTATCAAAATGCATTCTATTATCATGTATAATTAGAACAAATAAAAAATATTATATGGTAGAAAACAAATTTCATAGGCCACAAAACTGAGTTGTACAAGTTAGTTAAATATTTCCATATGTGAACTTAACTTCTTTCTTAAGTTCTAAATCTGCTGGATGCTACAAAGTGAAATGCTGGTGGGCTTCAAGGCATCTAAGGAATTTCAGGACTTAGTTCACATCAGGATCCTCTTGTCTATTCTTTTCCCTGGACTAGGTAATAAGGGGCTTATACAACCTTATGATAAGGGCAAGGAATGTGTGATGCCAGTCTGTACTGTGATATACACAATCTCCTATGCTTTTGTTCAGTGTTATCTCCCATAGAGCATTCTCTCAGAGATATGTCCCTACTTGGCCTCATGCCATGTGATCCATACCACAAACCTGCATCATCCTCTCTTTACAACCAAAAGGCCCATTTGTGTCTGCTAGCTAAAACTTTTTTTCTAATGAATGAGCATCAATCTTCCTTTTCTCTCTCTCACATATACCATTTGATGCTGTTTCCTGGTCCAATTTTGCTATCAACCTCTCCATCAGTTTTCAGTACTGTTCCCACGCTGTGATAGTGTTTCTCTTCTCTACCTTGATTCAGTAATGTTGCTACCATGAAGTCAGTATGTGTGGAATAATTTACCTGGGCTTGAGGTAAAAGGACGTTTGGTGTGGGAAATTATCAAAGGAATATTTTGGAATATTCTAACTTCAAGTCATTTTCACTCAAATATTAGCTATGTATAAATGCAATAAATTTGAGGAAGTTTGACATGACTTTATGTGTCATGGCAAGCCTCATACTAGTTCAGTATGTTAAACCGTGTACATATAATTGAATGACCATTTCATCTTGGAGAAGTTGGAATTTCACTTGGGCTCAATTGCACTTTGTAAAATGTGGGTTGTCAGGACTACAATGAAATTTGTGGGAACAAAAATTAGTACTGTTTGGGAGCCCCTCTAGAAGAAAAACAACTTAAAAACTGCAAAAGCAGAATTACAAATAAGATGGAATATGTGGTTCATTTGTGTCCAGCTAATCCAATTCTGGGGAAGTACCAATTTCTGGGTACTATCTCAGAGTTGGTAAGGAGCCCAGAAGTGATGAATATAAGTGTTTTTCAAACTGTGACTATAAAATTAGGACCAACATTAGAATGATAAATTTGATGTGCTACATAGATTTTCTTGATCTG